TATCACCTATATCACTTTAACTCAACTCCCCAAGTTTTTCTTCACTTCAACTGTAGCCAGGTATTGTAGTTACAATCTTTGGGGCTAATTACTGCATTCAACAAACCTTTTTTATGCATTGGGCCATGTTTTCTTAAGGACAAAAACCCATGGAATTTCTTAAGCCGAAAAGGCATAGGCATGAATACAAGATACGAACCATAATACCGAGAGCTAAATGAAAAACAATAATAACAACAAAATTGTAATATGAACTCTGGTAAAAAAAAATAGTTAACTGAGGCTAGGACTAAGACCCGGGGAAATCTAAGAATGCTCTCGGTGAAATTAGCACGGAGTGAGTTGGATTACTGAAACTGTTTCTCTTCCCCAGCTATGGATCAATTGGTAGGACTTGTATCACTAAATCATTACTATACCCTCCCGCTCAAAAAAAAAATTTTACAATGTAAAAATTTTTCTGGTTTGATCATTTTGAGCCCCGACGACCGTTTTACTGATGGTAGAGATAATGACTTAATAGCCGGCCACCGGTTGAACATTTGGCAAATGCTTGCTTCGTTTTTTGCTCTTGTATTGTTCCATGTAACTTTCCCCCAGCAAACCAAGGCCTCCAGACATTTCCTAGATCAATACTGTGTGACCTGGTGGGTGCATTCCGACCAGCTGCAGTCCACAGGATGTTATTTTACGCTGAGGCTCTGGGACGCCTGCAAAATATAGGCCTCCACCTCCCAGAGAAACTAGAAGATGTCTCCACTAACAACATCTGTGCTGTGTGCTCATAAAAATAGAATAAATTCAAGCAGAAAAACCCAGCGGTGGCCTATAAAGATTATCCAATCAAGGATCTGAAGTCTTCAGTCCGCTGCACAACATGCCAGCGTTTCTTGTGCATCAAGAGAGGCAGTACCCTACTCGGTAGACTGGCGCACAAAGAAAGAATTCTGGCGATAAAGGCATGCAATCATATTCTCTCCCTGATAAGTAGGAGGCTTATATTTTTGTAACTATTTTATATATACCATGAAATATTACATACCAATTATATAAAAATTATCTGGTGCAGTAAACCAACATTCCTAGCAACGGTCATACCAATTGAGCCGATATCATGGCAGTGGGACACGGAAGAGCAAGGAGATTTCGAGTGTTGCTCTTCTGGATGTCAGGATCAGCCATCCTGATTTTAGACTTAAAAGGTTCTCTGGGGTGATTAACCCTTTGAGCTCTGACCACCATTTTACCAGTGGTAGAAAAAATGACTTAATGCCCAGCCACCGGTTTAACGGTGGGTAAACACTTGCGTCGTGTTTTGCTATTGTATTCTTCCAGTTAACCTTCCCTAAAAAAAAATCCCTAAGTTTCAGAAAGTTTGTGTGATCTGATGGGTGCATTCTGGCCAGCTGCAGTCCGCGGGCAGTTATTCCATGCTGATGCTCTGGAAGGCCTGCAAAATGTCTGCCTCAAACTCCAACAGATATAAGATGCCCCCATTAACAACTTCTCTGCTGTGTGCTTTTATAAATACAAAAAAATTCAAGCACAAAAACTCAGCTGTGGCCTACAAATACTATCCTGTCCAGGTTGTGAAATCTTCAGTCCGCTGCACAACATGCTACCGCCTCTTGTGCATTAAGAGAGACAGCACTTACTAGGTAGCCAGGCGCACATAGAAAGAATTCTGGCAATAAAATGAAGGCATGCAAACATACTCCCCCCACTGATAGGTAGAAGGCTTATATTTTTCCGTAACTATTTTTATATCTACCGTGAAACATTAAATAAATATTTCGTAATGCCCAGCCACCGTTTGAACAGTGGCAGAGAAAAATGACTTAATGCCAAGCCACCGGTCGAACGGTGGCTAAACACTTGTAACTATTTTTATATCTACCGTGAAACATTACTTAGCAACTATTTGAGAATTTTAAATCAGGAGCTGAAGCGGAACGGTTAAAATTGTCCAGGAACGCAAAGTTCAAAGTGTTACTCGTTTAAAGTGGCGTCCATGGAAATGACGTAATGCCCAGCCACCCGTTGAACAGTGAAAGAGAAAAATAACGTAATACCCAGTTACCTGTTGAACGGTGGGTAAGCAATTGTAACTATTTTTATATCTACCGTGAAACATTACATACCAATTATTTCCGAATTTTGACTCATGATCTCAGCCAGAAGAGCTAAAATTGTTGAGGAACGCTGGGCTCAAAGTCATGATAAACCCGAGAAACGAATCAATCAAATAAAATATTTTTCGTTAAATGGCAAATCTCTTCCGGAAATAGTTGTCATATTCACGCTTTTGGAATTAAATGTTCCTGACAGACAAGGCGATGAAGGACATCATACACTGCTATTTATCCTTTGGCAGAGGGTGGAGATTGATCCATACTTTTTCATAACGCATTTATTCCAAGGTAAACGCAACATTAAATTTGAACTCGATATTTCAATCCAATTTTTTACAACGATGACCACCCTGTCATGCTCATATCAAGCTTCTATTTTCGTCAGAAGGCAAACAATCCACTGGTCTGTACTTGATACAAAAGTTAAATTATTCTTCGGTCTCTGTGCGTTAAAAGGTAAATACTTCATTCAAAAGGTAGAGTTTTTACTTGAATTAAAAGGTAGCGATTGATCAGGATTCATTCTAATTATTCTATGTACTGTGACCCTTCAGGACGTTAGCAATCATGACTCTCCACAATTTCTCTCCCGATTTCATCCTTCAAATCTACAAATCAACCTTTCGCCCTTGCATAGAGTAATGTTGCCATATATGGTCTGGTGCCCCCGCTGTTTGCCTTAAGGTCCTCCACAAGATCCAGGGACGGATAAGCAATGTGGTTGTTCCTGATCTGGCATCTCGTCTTCAGTCGCTCTCAAAAAGACGTGCCGTCGCTTCGCTCCCTCTTTTCTACAAATACTTTCACGGTAACTGCTCCGATGGGCTACATTCGCTAGTTCCCAGACTGCATGAATTTAAGCGTGCTACTAGGCTGGCATCACGGTCCCATCCTTTCACTGACGAAACGGTTAAATGTGGCCGGCTCTTCTACACCAACAGCTTCATGTCTCGCACCTCCCGTCTGTGGAATTCCCTTCCTATTAATTGTTTCCCTGATAGCTGTTATCACCAACTATTCAAATGTAATGTCAACCGAGATCTCCAGATGCCGAGAACTATTCCCTACACGCAGCTATTGGCTAACTATCAAGAGACGACTGTATACTGTTGGTTTTCTTCGTAACCAATTTTCGGGAAAGGACAAATCTTAATGCAAAACGGAGAAGGCAACGGGAAGTCACTACTCTTTCAAATGAAGCCATTGTAATACATTGATGAGAAGTAAAAGGTGTTGTTAAACCTTTGATGAAAAAAGGAATGATATTTAAAATATGTTAGCAACAAAAATATTATTTACGAAATTTAGTTTCGTTTTTCGCGCGATCTCCTCAATTTTTTAAATAACTGCTGCAAAATTCCCTATCGTTATATTCGAAATACCCTTTTCACTTTCGGAGACATTTTTTGATGTTTCTAAATATTTACACTTTAACAAACATTTCTTAAGTATTCCCACCGCAAATTAGAGCCTGACATTCGATTGACCAGAGAAAAACACCGCCTATGTTCTTATTTCTTTTCTTCCATCACAACTCTTTACACTCGCTCCCACTCTGTAACTGCTTGCATGCTAGTGGCATCCCGCCATGCCTGGGGTGAATTGCTTAAAAAAAGCAAAATGTCTGCCATCCATTTACTCAAGCTGGTTAACTTTGTTATGAGCTGATTTCCTCTATCCCTCTTGTTTACAATATGTTCTGTCAGGATGAATTTTTCCAAGCACTCTTTGCTCATTATGTACGCTAGAGATTGCAATTTTTTTTTTCTGATCTTAAGTATAAATATCGTCTGAATTTTTTTCTGTAACTTTGTCGTTTAGTGATATTCTCAAAATCTTTCTGTAGAACCGCATTTCTACTGCTTCAAGTCTCTTCCTCATCTATGTGCTGTTTGTTCGGTATTTACAGCCATATAAGAGGACAGCTATTAAATAACAGTTCAATACTCTTTTCCTTGTTTCTGGAGAACTATTTCTGTTTCTTAGCACTTTGCTTGTCCTGGAAGGCACCGTTTGTTTTGGGTGAAAGATGTTAGATCTCTACCAGACACTAAAAACATCCGCCATGGATCATGATCAAAAGTTTAGGGATCTCCTCCTTTGCAGTGAATGCAAATGGCCGTATTTCATGAATTGCCGATAGGACATGTAAACTAAAAAAAGAAAAATACTTATATAAAACGATAAATGGAATCCGAGATGACAATAGGATTATAAGATGTAAGCCGATTAAAGATACAATAAAATGGATAAAAGATGTTAGACATTGTAGGATAAAAGATTTACGGCGATAACAGATGTAATAAAAATGGAAGAAAAAAGACGTAATGCTTGAGGTGATGAAATTTTAAGATGTATGGCTATAAAATATAAAGGGAATGAAAGACGTAATACGTTAAGTAATAAATATGTCAGATATACAGCGATAAAAGATATAATAAAATGATAAAGATGTAATAAGAGAATTGATAAAAGATGTAAGATGTATGGCGAATAAAGATTTAGTGAAAGCGTTAAAAGATGTAATACATAAGATGGTAAAAGATGACAGATATATAGCGATAAAAGATGGAATAAGTGCAATGAAAGACGTAGTATCATAATCGATAATAGATGTAAAATTTATAGCGATACAAATTAAATAAAGGCTTAATCGATGAGGTTATAAAAGATCTAAGCTGTATAGCGATAAAGATGTGATAAAAAAAGTAATATGGGAATTGATAAAATGTAAGATATAATTTAAATTTAATTGGATGCCCTTATAAAAGATCTAAGCTGTATAGCGATAAAGATGTAATAAAACGATGAAAGTAATATGGGAAATGATAAAATGTGAGATATATAGAGATTATTGGTTTAATAAAAATGAGTAAAGATGTCATACGTAAGATAATAAAAGATGTAAGACTTATGGCGATAAAAGATGTATAACTTTAATAAAAAGACGTATTACCTGAGTTGATAAACGTTATGAGATTTAAGGCGATAAACAAAATAAATAATAAAAGCGATAAGAAAAGTAATACGTAAGTTGATAAAAGATGTAAGATGCATGGCGATAAAAGATTAATAAATGAAATGAAAGACGCCCTATCTATAATAGATAATAGATGTGAGATTTATGCAGATACAAATTTAAGGCGATAAAATGCGTAATACATGAGGCATTAAAAGATGTAAGATGTATAACGATAAGAGATGTAATATAACTAATAAAGAAGGTACTATCTGAGGTGATAAATGATGCGAGATTTAAGGCGATAAAAATGGAATAAAAAGCGTTAAAATATGTAATTCGACCAGATATCACCCAAGATGCAAGACGATAACAGATTTAAGATGCGATAAACCCGTCAGAATTCTGATAAAAAATGTACGAAATGCAATAAGACTTCTAAACGTTGATAAAAGATGTATATTGCTAGTCGAGAAAAGATGTATGATGTAAATATATTTGGAAAATTTTTTTATTTTTTTTATTTAAAAACAAATGGAGATTGTTTTCGTAGACCCTATGTATTTATATTCGCTGACAGTATCAGTGTATTATTGTGCTTACATTAGCCAATAAAAAAATAGAATTAAGAAACCCAGGAATGTACTCGATAATAGATCAAACCAAATAAAAAAATCAGTCTTGTTCTGGTAGCAGCGACTACAGACAAGCTGTTCTTTTGTCGTTGAATTTTAATTCAATTTCCTTGCAAAGAAAGTGTCTGCAAGAGAAATTAAATTTAAAGTTGTATAAAAAGAAATCCTGGAGGCTGAAAATTGGAATGCTGTTACTAAAATAAAGGAAATTAATAAAAAAAAAAATAATGTTTCTGTATTTCTACCGAAATTTGCCGATAGAGAATGTAATTATTATATTGCAGAAATTTCAAATATCAGTCACATTAGATCACGCATGTACTTCTCAAACACATTACAGTTTATAGAGTTTAAATTTGATTGTACACAGTTACTTGACACAGGGGAAAATTTCAGCTTTTTATTCGTCAGGAGGAAAGAGCTTTAGAGTGTTTCTGCAATTTATATGTCTATCTTAGGATGAGCAATATCTATCTATCTATCTATCTATCTATCTATTGATCAATTACCTTTCATATTTTTCAATTCTTTTCTTCTTTTGTTAATATCTATCTATTTATCTATCTATCTATCTATCTATCTGCCAGTTCCTTCCTCTCTTCCTTCCTTCCTTCCTCTCTATCTATTTATCAGTTCCTTTCTCACATCCTTCCCCCTTCCTTACTTCCTTCCATCCTTCCTTCCATCCTATCTATCTATCTATCTATCTATCTATCTATCTATCTATCTATCTGTTCCTTCCTCTTTTTCTTCCTTTCTATCTATCAATATATCTATATATGTCAATTACCATCCAAATCTGTTAATTCCTATCATTCTTTGTTATCTTTCAACTTCTTTCTTCTTTTGTTAATATCTATCTATCTATCTATCTATCTATCTATCTATCTATCTATCTATCTATCAGTTCTTACCGCTCTTCATTTCTTCCTTTCTTTCTTCCTTCCCTCCTATCTATCTATCTATCTATCTATCTATCTATTAATTACATTTCACATCTTTAAACTTTTTTCTTTTGTTAATATCTATCTATCTATCTATCTATCTATGAATTAATTACATTTCACATCTTTCAACTTCTTTTTCTTTTGTTAATATCTATCTATCTATCTATCTATCTATCTATCTATCTATCTATCTATCTATCTATCAGTTCCTTCCACTCTTCCTTTCTTTCTTCCTTCCCTCCTATCTATCTATCTATCTATCAATTAATTACCTTTCACATCTTTCAATTCCTTTCTTCTTTTGTTAATATCTATGTATTCATCTATCAATCTATCTATCTATCAATTAATTACATTTCACATCTTTCAACTTCTTTTTCTTTTGTTAATATCTATCTATCTATCAGGTTCTTCCACTCTTCCTTTGTTCCTTTCTTTCTTCCTTCCTTCCTTCCCTCTTATCTATCTATCTATCTATCTGTCTATCTATCTATCTAATAATTACATTTCACGTCTTTCAATTCCTTCTTTTGTTAATATCTATCTATCTATCTATCTATCTATCTAACTATAAATTAATTACAATTCACATCTATCAACTTCTTTTTCTTTTGTTAATATCTATCTATCTATCTATCTATCTATCTATCTATCTATCTATCTATCTATCTATCTACTTTCATTTATCTATGTATCTTCATCTACGTATATACACAAAAGCGAAGATACGCTTGGTAAAGGTTTGAATCTATGTCCTCTCCCTACAGCGATGAATTAATTAGTATGACTTGTATCATGAAACCATTTTTATGTCAAAAGAAAAAAAATCTTACAATCAGAAAATATTTTCTCTCTTTAAATAAAAGCTGCAAATGGTTGAGAAACTGAAGGAATAAATGAATGAAGGAATCAATAAAATTGGCCACTCCATTCCAAAGTAGAAATATTTCTATGGCAACGAATTTTCAATATATTCAGTTTTTTCTAAAAATGATTTACACCTGCTTTTTCAGCAGCTGTAGCCCACAGGAACCTCTTTATCTGGCTATACCAATGTGCTAGCAATGACCACAACAGAAGCCTCAAAATAATTGCAAGTGTGACCTCAGCCAGGCAAAGACGATGTTTTCTGATAGAGTAAAACCCCATATAGACACTAACAAATTTGTTGCTCCTGACTATTGGTTCACCCGCAAGGGAGTGTGTTAAATATGTGTAAATATTTTTAATACGTTCTTTCTTCAATCAGTTTGAATGTTGCCACTCACTTCAGATAGAGAGGAAAGTTTTGCGCGCCAATGATCTTCCAATTCTACTCCCGAATCATCGTGATTTTTTTTTTTGCTTTATTTTCCTCATATAGTAGAATATCTACTGCGTGATATGGATATAATCATGTCCATGTTTTCCCCTCTCATTTCCAGACTTGATCCCGAAGTCGACTTGAGTAAATACTGAGTCATAAATATATGTACCCCTGAACTGGGTAACTCTACGTAAACCTACACAAATTGCCTTGCCGATTCTTGCTTTCAAGGTGGTTGGAAATCCAATTCTGTTTTTATGAACTCTGGCGGAACGTCTTATCGTTCGGTCTATTCTACAATTTAGTGAATGCTGGGCAATCTCCTCAAAGATGAAGAAGAGACTTGAAGCAACAGAAATATGGTTCTACATAAAGATGTTGAGAATACCATGAACCGAACATGTGAGCAACGACTGAGTTCTAGAGACAATGGCAATAAAATTATATTTCTACTTAACATTAGAAAGAGTTTGTTGAGATTTCTATGATACATAATGAGAAAGGAAGGCATGGAAATTTTGATATTCATAGGGCAGATTGAAGGTAAGGGAGACAAAGGAAAGCAACGTAGACAAATCTGTTGAGCATGAGTGAAGGGATTGCGTAATAGGTTATGGGGAAAATAGCGAAAAGGGAAAAAGGTATCAAGAGCTAGAAGGGACAGCAAATAGGGGAGAGCCTTGATTGCCAGCGCCCGGAAGGATCTCGGCAGATAGAAGAGAGATACTTGAGGCTCTGATCCACTCCGAAATGGTTAAGCATCTCACCTTTTAGGGTCTTTTTTCCGACAAACAACATGCTTTCGCTTGTCTAGGTCAACACCCAATGTATTACCACTTATTGATAAAAGTGTACTTCACGGTTTAGGTGAGAACGGCTGTGGCTTTTGACATAAAAAAAAGCGTTTGGCAGGTTTTGGCGTCTTGATTTTCTTTAAAAGTTGAAAGCAAATGCTGTATCCAGCCGAATTCTTGATTTGCGTATTGACATTCTTCTCGAGGGTTTCCAACTTTGGCTGAATTCAATTGTCCCCATCCCATTACTCTATCCATGACATACTTAATTTGTTATTGTTATAAAGTAGCTAGCACCCCTTAAGCACTCTACCAGATGGCCTGGCTCATAGCCTTAAACAGTCTACGATTAAGGACTTCAACAGTTCATTAATAAATTGATTAATATATTGATTAGTAAGTTGATACTAAGCTGATTAATATTCGGATTGATCTACGTTTGGCTATACAGCATTTGACTCTCCTCTATACCTTGTAAGTAATCTTGTTAAGTTTTTGGTAATTTATTGTTTTGTGTTTTTGTATGTATCCATTAGCCCATTATACTGGTGCTGAATAAATATATTAAGCATTCCTTTTTCACTTCAAGGTTTCGGTGTGAACAGCTGTGTCTTTTGACATCAAAAAAGCGTTTGACAGAATTTGGCATCCTGGTCTTCTTTAAAGGTTGAAAGGCAATCCTGTATCCAACCGAATTCTTGAATTGAATTGCGCACTGGAATTATTGTTGGGGGTCTCCAAATTTGAATGTTATTGTCTCCCGGCACTCTATCCAGGATATATTTTATTTGTTATCTATGTAGAGTAGCTAGCACCCCTTTCAGTACTTTACCTGGTGGCCTGACTCATAGCCTTAAATAGTTTACGATTAGGGACTTCAGCAGTTGATTAATAAGTTGATTAGTAAGTTGATATTTAGCTGATTAATATTCGGACTGATCTTACTTCGTTTAGCGATACAGCATTTGACCCTCCTTTATTCCTTGTAAGTTGTCTTGTTAATTGTTTTGTAATTTAATGTTCTGTGTTTTTTTTTTTTATGTATCCGTTAGCACCGGATATTGGTGCTGATTAAATGTATTAAGCAGTGATTCTTCGCTGTATCATTCACCTCGACTATACAACAGTTATGTTCATCAACGACCTTTCCGAAGTCATCTGTTATCAATTCGGTATCTACGCTGATGGCGCACCTATTTGCTCCTGTCTTAGTAGTAAGCCCGATAGGCCGTATAAAATCGAACTGGCAGCTGATCTCAAAACTGACATTTAATTAGTTGTTAACTGGGGCAAAAAAAAAAAAGAAATCCTGAACTTTAAAGGTTCTAAAACGCAACTGGTGTTCTTGTTAGCCGTCGTCATCAGCTACTTAACCGGGTTTATGTTGGGGCGCACCCACCTTCTGACTGAGGATGGACTGATCCCTTTACGATATAGGTCAGTGCTAGAGAGATCAGACGAGATCTGTTCATCACGTTCTGTGGAGATCACGAGACCATTGCACTTCGGTCTCTCTACCGGAAGATACCGTTGGACTTTAGACTCTTGCTAATTATTATTACTAACCTGCGTTCGTTATTACTAATCACTCTGTTGTTAAATACCTCTTCAAATATACCAGTATTTTTCCCTACATCTGTGTTTGTCTTTATTTGAATACACACACGCAGGAACACTCCCAACATCTCAACAGTGACGACGAGGATTCGAACGGATAAAAAGAACCTACGTTGAAAAATAAATATCGCAACAGCGATAGAAACGATTTCAACACGGGAAAATTTAAAAGAGTTCAAGCATTTTTTCACAGCAAAGGATTGAAAAGTTATCGACAAAAAGAAAGAAACTGTAAGTTAGACATTAAATTATTGATTAAATTGGAATCTAAAATAACCAATTTTTTGTGCTAAAAAAAAATTTTTTGTCGTGCCAGAGAATTTGATTAATTTTTGCCCCCCCCCTCAGAGAAAAAAAAAACGCATAATTTCGCTTTCTTTTTTTTCTACACATACATAATCATGGAGTAATTTCAATCATCTATGCTGGAACTCATTAAGATGCAAAGACAACAAGAGAGTGAAGAACGTTTTCAGAAAGTAAGTGAAGAAAATGCAATCTGGAGCTACACGAAAAACAAAATAAAATACAAGAAGAAAATGAAAAGAAACAGTTATGACTGAACTTATACATTAAGCTATACTGTCTAAGCAGAAAGACTCGGATGAAAGTATTTTTTCTCAAGACACAATATGGTCGACGATCGAAAGTTTTACCTATAACCCAGAAGAGGAAAAGACTTTCGAAAGATATTATCATAGGTATCAGGACTTTTATGAAGTCGATTGCCAAACATGGACAGATGAGAAAAAGATAAGATTATTGCTACGGAAACTGGGAACGGCAGAACATAATAAATTTACAGACTTTATATTACCCAAAAAGACAAGACACGTAAAATTTGACGAAGCGATTGAATTACTAAAATGTCTCTTCAACCCCAGATTTTCATTATTTCACAAAAGGTGGAAATGCCTTAATATTCAAAAAAGCGAGCAGGAAGACTACACGACGTTCGCGGCAATCGGAAATAAGACGTGTGACGATTTTCGCTTGTCCGAATTATCGGCGGACAATTTCAAGTGTCTAATATTCGTGCTAGGCTTAGTGTCTAAAAAAGATAGCGAAATGCGAAGACGCATTTTAGCAAAGCTAGAAAATGAGCAAAACATGACACTACAAAAGCTAGCCGAGTACTGTCAGCAATGCTTAAGTATTAAGCAAGATTCAGAGAAAATAGAAGAAACTGCTATCGCAAATGTGAAGAAAGTAAATAGGAAGACTCGTTTCAGTTCTCCATCGCCTGAACGGAAGTGGTATCCTACTACAAGAATGAAGAGAGACTATAAAAAAAAAAAAAACTTCCTCCGAGTGCATGTTATGGATGCGGCCAGTGGCACTGGTACAATGACTGTCCATATAAAAATAAAACTTGCAGAAATTGCAAGAAAG